TTTTTTTTTTTCAAATACTAGCCAATTTTTACATGACTGAAAGTAGGGGACGATTATTTTAGCGCTATGTCAGCAGCAATTTTTAAATGTTGTTAGAATTTTTAGTATTTTCGGATTAGAACAGTGACTTTTTTCTCTACCTAGGTATCTAAAATAAGTAGGGCAACGGTAACTGACCACTAGTGCAAGAATTTTTATTTTAGTTTTCTTTTTTGGTGAAAAGTCAACGTATTTGTCATGGAATGCTAAGCTCAATGTGTTTTTCGTTTTGCTGTTATGATCGTATATTAGAAAAACTTTTGCATACGCAGAAGATAAATTTAAATTTTTTCTCATTAATTTGATTAGTAGTTGTGAACTTCTTACTGTTTTGACTCTTTATTTTTTGAATGATGGCCAATTTTTTGAGGGCTGTATTTTTGACAAATATTAAATTAGCTTATAAAGATTCCTTAATTCACATATTTTAATTTTTTGACCTTTTCATTTCGCTTTTTGTGTCGGTAGAAAGGAAGCTTAGTGCTTCCTTTTCATGTATTTTACAGTTCTCGTTCTTTTTTTTGACTTCAAATTTATTTTTAAAATTTTTAGAAACAAGCGTGCAAAAGCGCGAATTCTCAAGGGTTTCTGTTCGTTTGTGAATAAGAAAGATGTCGTTGCTGCTACTGTAGAAATCATTGAATTATCTGGATTTTCTGCAGCAAAAACAGGTTTTGTGGATGTGGTGTGTGGCTCTTGAGGATGGAGGTAGATCATTGTAAGGTGGACAGTTTTTGAGTTAATCATCGTACTGTGACCACCAGAACTTAGAGCGGTTATTGAAGCTGATTAAAGCAGGATTGCGCGTAGCATTTCTTCAGGATCTGATGCTTCATACTGGGCAGTCTACAGTGCTACAGAAAGAAAGAAAAAAGCTACAATACTAGAAACCTTTCGAGCTTATTGAATCACAGTGGACAAGTCGTATCTGCAGTTCCAAAATTTCTTTAGTTGTCCATAGCTGAAGCGATTTCCACTAGATTGTTACTTGCGACCAAGAGTGGATGATCTGTAACGATCGAAGAGGAACTGGACAAAAGGTGCATTTCAGGAAGCTTTTAATTGGACGAAGAATTTGGGTTTGCAGCAGTCTAAAATTTCATCGAGCGTTTGAAGAGTAATTTTAAAAGACTGTAAATATATTGAGAGTATTACTGCAGAAGAGTATCATTCTGAATTAGAGAGCATGAACAGACTTCAAAAAGATGACGTCCAAAGTTTCCTATCAAAAAGGAGATGTTGTCACCGTTTGACGAAACTGTACGGCTTGCTTAAGTTGTTGTGAAGTGAAAAACTACGTTGCCAAAATAGATAGTTTTGCTGCGTCCATCTGA